CCACACGGGGGAAAAGCCATACCAGTGTCAGCACTGCGTGTTCAGGTGTGCTGACCAGTCCAACCTGAAAACTCACATCAAAACCAAACACGGCACCGACCTGCCCTTTAAGTGTGAGCACTGTCCCCAGGCCTTCGCCGACGAGAAGGAGCTGCAGCAGCACATGGAGTTGTTCCAAGGGCACAAGACCCACCAGTGTCCCCACTGTGACCACAAGAGCACCAATTCCAGTGACCTGAAGCGACACATTATCTCGGTTCACACAAAGGACTTCCCCCACAAGTGTGAGGTGTGCGAGAAGGGCTTCCACCGGCCCTCCGAGCTCAAAAAGCATAGCGAGACCCACAAAGGGAAAAAGATCCACCAGTGCAGGCACTGTGACTTCAAAACCTCAGATCCTTTTGTACTTAGCGGGCACATCCTCTCAGTTCACACCAAGGACCTGCCTTTTAAATGCAAACGGTGTAAAAGAGGCTTTAGGCAGCAGAACGAACTGAAGAAGCACATGAAGACCCACAGTGGGAGGAAGGTGTACCAGTGCCAGTACTGCGAGTACAGCACCACGGACGCGTCGGGCTTCAAGCGGCACGTCATCTCCATCCACACCAAGGACTACCCCCACAGGTGTGAGTATTGCAAAAAGGGCTTCCGCAGGCCCTCCGAGAAAAATCAGCACATCATGAGGCACCACAAGGAGGCCATAATGTGACAGAGGAGCTGCAGGAGGAGGCGGTGTAGAAACTGTGATAATGCTAATTGGGGAAAAAAAATAAATCTCACGAACTGTTTCTCCTGGTTTCAAAGCTTGATATTAAACCATAACTTTACATTCTTTGTATTAAAAGTCTTAAAAGTATTAGGGTTGGCAGGGGATCTCATAGCCCTACGATTGTTGCTTATCAGAACCTAAAGAGCACTATGGAATGGAGAGGTTGGATGAATGTCTAAAAGTTGCAGAAAGATGGATGAATGTCTTCAGGTGAACAGTATTTCCCATGGCTAAGTACAGAAGACAGAGCAGAGCTGATTGTGTGACCCATTTTGTCAGTAACATTTGTCTCCAATATGAAAACAGTTCAGAGTCGTGGGGGGGGGAGTTACAAAAGGTTTGCAAAGGAGCCCAGTCCTCACTTCTTGTGCAGTTTTGAACGGGGGGGTTTTAGTCAGTCACTTCATCCCAACGTTTTAATTGTGCCTAGAAACTGAATTCCAGAACTGCTCAAATTTGGGGGGGGTTGTCCCTTGTTTGGTTTGTTTTTGTTGGTTTTTTTTTTTATTATTATTATTTTTGTTTTTGTTTTTGAACATTTCATCGGGAAACTTTTTGGTTTCCTTTATTAGTTTAGGTCCAAGAAGCATTTTTTTACTGGTTTTCAAAGCTGCTAACCTATTTTATTGCAGGATTTGATGTTTGAAATAGAGCACTATGTTATGGTCTCAGAGGTGGTGTTCTGGTGCTAGGGTTTAAAGATATATATGTACATAATTTCCCTTTTTTTATCTGAAACTACAGTTGAATGTTGTTCAGTATGGCACATATAACAAAATTAACTTTGAATTTGACTTTTTTTTTAAGGATAAAATGGATGCAGCTCATAGTGTTGTGACTCAACACTAATTTTTCTTCTTGCTACTTTAAAAATCTTCTTTAAAAAGAATATTAAAAACAGTTGAAAACTGTAGAGGTTTTTTGGTTTTTTTTTGTTTTTTTTTTTAATTAAAATTCAGAGTACTTAGAAGTTCTTTAGGGCAGTGTTCTTAACAGGTATGACAATTACTGTCCTACCTCCTAATAGGAAATTTTCCATATAGACATAAAATTGCACCTTTCGATGGATTCTTTTTAAAATAAAAAGATCTATACCATGCTATAAACATGCATTTTTCAATCTGTAAGAAAGTATATATGCAGTATTTAACCAGAAAAATCTGCTGCCACTAGAGTTTGGAGGTGGATCTTGAGTTTACAGTGTATACATTTAAAATATGCATCCCTTTACAATGCTTTGTGTTAGCATGCTGCAGATCCAATGGCGCTTATATAACGAGCTGGTCTAGGGCTATTTAATGAAAAACCTGGTCATAAATGTTATGCATATAATGTGTATTTTTTACTTTTTTAGTTGCTTCATGTTTGCACACAGCTGTTCACATGAGAAATTGTAACTTCATGCTATATTGTGGCTTTGTGTTCCAGATAATGTTCATATTTTGTTGGGTTTTTTTTTTTTGCACCAGATGAGAATCAGTTCCTTGAGAATAAATTTTTTTTATATTTCTAAACTTCAGAAAGTTAAATTTGGGAAATCTCTTAGACAAATACGTGTTTTATGTGGCTGTAAAAAATGATGTACACGCTGTAAAATAAGATTGTCACTGTTCTGTGGGATTATTATTTCTAAATGTGTTACTCATCGTAACGGGCATACAATAAAACGCATCTCTTGCACTCCAAAGGTTTTGGAGTTTGCTTTTCATTTGTGGTGTTTAGGAAAGTCTCACTCTGTGGAAATTTAAGTGTTATTTTTAATTGCATTATTTGCTCATTAGTATGTAATAACCTTTCAAGTAAGCAGGTTACTGGAGGTATATTTGTCAGACTGTTGAGGGGAGAGCATTAGCTTTGATTTGACTAACCCTTTAAACTTACAGGTAATGTGCTTACTTTGTTTATTTCTAAAATAATTCTCAAATGTGATACATTCCTTTGACATTTTTTTTCCTTCAAGAGAACATAAAACTTCTCACGTGTTTTGGGAAAACCCAGGTAGGTGGGTTTTTCTCTTTTTATCTGTGTAATAAGAACAGCTTACAGAGTGAAATACTAAAAATGCTGCTACCCTTAAATTCCTGCTCTTTTTAGGATACTTGTATTACAACATCAGGAATAGATTAAACACTTGAAGAAGGAAGTGTGATTTTAAATGAACAGTTCATCCAAGGATTTCCCACAGGCTTTGAGCCACTGAACTTGTGGGTTTTGCACCAAAAAGCAGAAATTAAGCAGGCAGAATGTGTTTATCTGGTTCTTGTTGCTGCTGCTTTGCTTTGCACGCCCAGCAGTCAGAGGTAGCATTCAAAAAGTCTTAAAAGTTGTGCTTTTCTGACCATGTTAATGTTTTTTTCCTGAGCATTATGTTGAATACTTGAACTGAAGGAGTTTCTTTGTAGCAGCCCGAGGATGATCACCCTGGCTCTGTGCCGAAGCCCACAGCCCTGCTGGCTCATTTCCCCACCATACAGATGGATAGAATAATCAGGTAATAGTTCTGTGGCAAAGCAAGAGGTTGGTTGCTGTTCTTGACATAAGATTTTACTAGAAAGTGGTGTTTTAAGTCTTCTGAAACGGAAGAAATGCAGTGTCACCTGAGTCTTCAGCAGTTTCAGGCACAGTCCCTGGATCCTCTTCAGTGCACTTTCCCCGTTCACACTGAAGAGGATTTTGGTGGCTGTGGTGTTGTCACCGTGGAGGTGTCACAACTTTAAAAATGCTTCCTGTCAAGTCACAGTAACAGGTGTCTGTCAGTACTTCCACACATCCCTTTCCCAGTGTTGGTGATGGGATGCCACTCCACAGAACCTCGAGTGGGAAAGGGGTGGGGTGAAGTACCTGCTGTGGGTAGGGCTGGGAGCACGAGCAGGGAGCTCAGCTGTTGTTTGTGTCCCTCCTCTGCTCCTGCCACCCTGGATGTGATGGACAATGGACAGATGGGGCTCGAGCAAGGGCAGTTCACAAACTGTGCAAGGGTTGTTTGGTGCAGTTTTATTGGAGTGACAGATTGACAGGTGCAGTTAAAAAAATGACTCATGTCTTGATCATCTGTGTTCTTCTTTCTTCAGGTTTCAAATGCCCACAATTAACTAAAATAGAGAGAAAAGAGGGCAGAAGAGCAGCACAACACTCTGGAGGTGAAGGTGAGTTACCTGGGTGTGGTCTGTGTGACTCCAGAGCTGTCAGGAACTTCTGAACCAGGGCTCTCTTTGGCTTTTATTTCACAGCTGAGGGAGAGAAACTTCCCTATTAAAGAAAGGTCAGTCATAAAAACCAGAAGACAGTTTTCTCGTGGTCTTCAGTGCAAACCCAGACTCTGTTCAGGCAGAGGTTATCTAATAACACTGTTGATAAAAAGAGTCAAATAGGGCAGAATATCTATTGTTGTAAATATACGAAGTAAATGCTGTCTGATTTTTCTAATTTGTTCCTGAAAAAAATGTCAGTCTTGGTGGACCTCCCTGACATTGAGGTGGGAAATTATCTCAAGCAAAGTGTTTACAACTAGCATTTACAGAGCTGAGTAAATGAGAAAAATGTGTTTCTGTAAACTCCAGCAGAAAGCATTTTTAGGTAAATCAGGTCCAGTGCAACAGAAAAGAGGCAACAGCTGAGACCACAGCAAGTAACAGGTACTTTATAATGAAAAATACTAAATTTGCTTTTTAAATAAATCTGGTTTGAAAACAAAAATGAACAGTCATATGCTTTACCTACTGGTCTAGTTTAGCTTTTTAACACCTCTGTGGGTACAGTGTGTAGTTATGACCTGTGCTCTGTTGCATTTACAGTGCACAATCTTCAATTACACCCCAAGCCTTCGAGGAGCTGAGGCTGCTGCACCTCCAGTACAGCCACCTGTTCTGAGCAGCAAACCTGGGCTGGTGTTAAACAGGCTGCACGTTCCTCTCTGTGTGGGGAACAGGCACGGTGTTTTCACTGGGATTTGCCATCCTGCCAGCTGCATATGCAAAACAGATCATTAGCTAATGGTGGCCTTTGTCAGGGAACTGTCCCACCACACCCAGGAGCTCCTGTTGAGAGCCTGTGTGTCCTCAGGGGCGTTCCCTGAGCGTGTTGTGCTGTGCCAGGGATTGAGGAAACACGGGCTTGGTGTCACTGAGGGCATGGTCAGTAGATCTGCACAGCCCTGGCACGGCTGACACCAGCACCCAGTAACTGTGTCCATCAGTAACTCACATTTCTGCTCTTTGTAGCCTCTCCAGGGCTGCGAGACACCCATGGTGCTGGGACACCTGCAGTCAGGACACCTGCACAGTCAGGCACAGGTAAGTGATAGCTTTAAACACACATGGCCTTCTGCCTCTTTTAAGCCTTTTTTTGTTCTGTTTTGTAGATCACCAAAGGTGGAAAGTCATTTAAGGACAGCCTGAGGAAGATTATTTATTGGGATAGAAGACACAGTGTTCTGTGTCAGTTCTGTGTCACTCTGTTAGCTCTGTAGATGTACCCCACCTCTCATACAGAAATGGGGGGTTATTTTAGAATAATAACTGATTTCAGATGGGCATGGCCATCTTCATTCCAAGGATGGGATTTAAGTAATTAAATCCTCTTTCTGTTGAGTAAGGCTGAAGTGGTTGACAGTTGCTGGTGCAAACTCTTAGTTTCTGAAATTCCTGGCCCATCTCAGCCTGGACACTCTCAAAGAGCAGCATCAGGGGGAGGTTTTACTTGTGGCTCTTTCCACTTCTGAAGAGCACGAGCTCAGCTGGACATGCTGCATCACCTCTGGGGAGGCCTGGGATCAGGGGCCAGGGAAGGGACCCAGCACTGGTCCTTCACTTGTCAAGATTCAGGTGGAAGAACACGGCACCATCTCACTCCCCCCTCCAGCTGTTTCCAGGACAGACAGACGGGATTCAGAAAGTTACACTTGGGTTTATTTCATGGTTACAGGTATCCTCCAGCATTGCCTGGGCTATATAGTATTTGTGAACAGAAATACATGGCTGCAGAAGTAAAGCAAAGCAAGAACCCCACTAGAAAGAGCACCTTTGGTTTAAACTTTGCCCTGTGACTCTCTGTGCTGTATTGCTCAGACAACAACTTACTCATGAATACCAAATTATTTTGAAAGAATTTCTGTGGTCCTGGAAGGAGCAGAAATTGTAAAAGGCAGGTTGATCTGATAAGGAAATTTAGTCCATGAGCTATTTTCATACAACGTTCTTGTATATAAAAATATACCAAGTTCTTGAAAATTTCAAGCACAGCAAATAAATACTTACAGCTGGTAACCCAGTTTAGAAGCTGGGTTTGAGGAGTTGTGTGGCTGGTGTAAGTTATTGTCCTTTGTGTCTGAGCTTCCCACACAGAGGCAGGTGAAGGTAAGCAGTTTTCAGTGAGGTATTTTTGAAGTTCCCTGTGAAGGTGGTTTCTGGGATTTGTATCATCTCCAGAGGGCAGCCTGGGACTGCACTGGAAGCAGTCCCATGCTGTGTGGGACTGACATGGGTGCCATTCCCACTCTCGGCATGAGGAGACAGGACAGAGGAACGTGGGTACCAGGACGAAGAGGAAAAGGTTTCAGGTGTGTTCCTTTTGTCTCTTAGATCACTTCAGGACTGGCTGAAGAACAAGAGTTAGTCAAGAAAAGCTGAAGTCCACAGAGGGATGGCATCCTGCTCTTCTGAGGGAAAAGTGAGTCCTCAATGTGTTCCCAGCCCTCCTCACTCTCAGACTGAACCTTTTCTGGGTGCAGAGTAGCAGAAAGTAAAGCAGTTGTAGTGGCTGTGAACTCCTTCAAACAGCTCTGATGACCCAGAGGTTTCTTTCATTCCTGAAAGAAACAAGCAGCTTGTTAGAAACAAACTTATTTCTGTTTTAAAACAAAACTACCTGCTATAAAGCATCTTACTCATTTTCTCCAGCAGCCTGAGTGTCTGTGGGAACCAGTGAGCCCTTCCTTTGTACCAAACTCTTTATTTTTCAATTGCTTGACATTGCAGGTTGCAGTGCAACTGAGTGAGTTCTAGGCATCAGTAATAAAACTCTGCTGTTTGCCAGTGACCTCTGCCTTTTACTTACTTCATCCTCCTGCAGGTAACGCACACCAGGTGTGTTACCCTTCAACTTTCTCTTGGTTGTATCCCCCAAAAACCACCCTGTGTCCCTGTGCTGCTGTGTCATTCCACCTGCAGGCACCAGAACACCTGGTTGGGGACCAGCACTTTGATATTTCTCCAGCCTTGGACTTTACAGCAGTGTGGTGTAACGAGACTCAGCACCACGAGCCCCTGCCCTGAAACAGAAATAGCTTCTGCAGCCCTGTTTTCTGTTTGCACTCTGAATCACTGCTTCAACTGTCCCCACTCTTCTGCATTCCTGGGTTAGCCACTGCCCTGGCTCAAGGTGAGTTTCAGGGATGTGGTGTTTAGTATGTTTTAGTAATAGCTTGGAGTCATTAATGCTGCTGATTCAAAAGAGCACTGCCCACCCAAAACCCTCCTCACCTGAGAGCACAGCAGGGACACAGTCCCTCCCCCCTGCCCAGTACAGCAACACCCTCGGGACTGGTGTTAGAGCAGCGCTGCTGCTTTTGTTCAAGGTAATTACATGCCAGAGAAAACAACAAAAGGTTTTATTTGTACCCCACCCACCAATTACTGCAGCTTGCAAGAGCCAGGACAGTTCCTTGACTGTAATCAGTCACTTTGCTTTTTGCAGAGTTAAATTAACGTGACAGCCTCTCTCAGCTGCCAGTTTGGAGTTAAACTGAACACTTGGGGATTGCAGGGAGGGAATAGTCCACCTCCAGGTAAACTTACATGTTTCCATATCTCCCCAGTCCTCTCAATGACAATAGTTTGGGATTTATTGACAGGTGATGTGACCTTGTAGTCATCAGACAGGAGGCCCAGAATAGGATACTGATTCCTGTACCTGTAAAAGAGAATTGCCAACTGGTAGAGTGATACCTGCAGGCCTGTGTCCAAATCCCTAACTCTGACCTTGCCCCACAGCCCCGCCAGTCCTTAATCCCCAAAAACCTGCTCAAAGCCAGCAGAGACATCTCAGTGTCACCATGACATGCTGGACCTCTCTCCCACTGCAGTTACAGTGCTGAACCCTCCCTGTACAGGAAAACCTCTCTTGTCTTTTACCCCTTTAGGTTGAACAGGCAAGATGAAGACATTTGCAGGAACAGCTTGGTTAGCAGAGGGGAAAGAAAGGAAAAGCCAAAGGATGTATTTTTAAGGAAGGTGAATAAGCACGTTACTTTTTAGTGATGATGGCTGTCACTCCAGGGGACTGACTGCCCGATAACTTCTCCTGCTTCAGTCTGAAGAGCTCCTGAGAAAACCAACAGAAAACATTCACAGGAAATAATGTTTTCTGAAGTATCAGTTCAACAGAGTCACTACAAAATATTTGCAGAAATTCCCCCCAGAGAACAGTCTGAAAAGTCTGTCCTTCCAGAAGGCTGGCAGAGGATTCAGTTAGAACAAATCCCAACCCCAGTTCCTGAGCCAGGAGAGGACAAGTGACTTCCCAGTGAGCTTCCACCTACGCAGGGCTTGGAGTTTTTAATATACAAATTCTTAAAAGAGAAACAACTTGTACTATTTTACCTCTTGCTGTTGTTTAATAAAAGCCTCTTTGTCCTCCAGCATCGATGTCAGTTCGTGCAGCCTCATTTGCAAGTCACTGTTGCTCCCCTCCCTCCTGGAGATGTCCTGCTGGAACTGGCATAACTGGGACTGCAGAACAGGACAGGGAGCAGTCAGGAGTGTGTACTCCAGGCAGGAAGGGTGTATTTTTTCATTACCACCATGAACAGTAAGACCCAGTGATTTCCAACTCAGAAAGATGAGCTGCACAGTAAATTCAGAAAGTGCTGACTGGACTGAATTCAACCCAGTATCAGTTCAGTAGTTTAATAACTCAGTCTTTTGACTAATTTCTTACCTTATCAGGACACACAAGATAACCCCTTAGGAAACCCTGCTAATTGAACTGACCCCTAATTTCGACATCTAACGAATGTTGGGGTTTTTTTTCAATCAAGGTTTTATGTCCTATATAAGGATTTCTGAGCCATCATTAGTGTCTATGAATCAAGGAACTGCAGAACCAAAAGATATCCATTGCTGTTGTTAAGGGCAAGAGCAGCTCTTTCCCTTCTCCCACACGGGTGCCAGGTGGAACCACTCACCCTGAGACTGCGGATCTCCCGGTCCTTGTCCTCCCTCAGGTTATTGATCATCTCCACGTATCGGCTGGAGAGTTCATCCGTGGTGGTCTGCAGTGTGGGGCTGGAGCAGCTCTGCAGGAAATAAACATTTTTATTGTCATACTTGAATCTATCTGTGAGTACCAGCTGCTGCCCCTGGAGCAGGTGAGTGTTACCTGCAGCTTGAGGCTCTGGATCTCCTGCTCCAGGGCCCTCTTGCCGTACTCCAGCTCCTTCAGCTGACAGTCCTTCTCGCCCTCACTGAGCCGCAGGGACAGGAGCTGCTCCTCCAGAGAGCGGCACCTGGCAGTGCTGTCCCTCAGCCCTTGCTGGAAAACACACAGGGAATGAGGGCACAAGTTCCTCAAGGGAGCAGCAGCACCACACACACCAGGCAGCAGGGGATACCCAAAAGTCAGGAAACTGCTGACTAGAATTACACTGAAATCTGAATTACATTTAGATTTACCTGCTGCTGACGATTGTTCTCCCTTAGAGAAGCCAACATAGTTTCATATTCTTTTACTTGAGAATCCTTAAAAGCCAAATCCTTCTTCAGCAAGACATTGTCCGTTTCCAGCTTCTGTGGGACAAAAGTGTTCACAGTCAACAGGTGCAGGTTTTCAGTCAACTCTTCCCATGAAGTGCAACACACTGAGTCACTAGTGAAGTGATGTTCTAGAACTGAGAAAACAGTCCCACGCTGGAGTGCCTGTGGCTTTGTGGGATCCTGGACACTGCCCTTCCAGTCTGCCCCAGAAAGAATTTAAACAGAAGCCAACAAAAACAAACAAGCAAAAACTCAAACAAACAAAAACCCCAAAACAGAAACCCGAAAACAAACACAAAGCCCACTCCCACCCCCCCAAAAAAAAAAATTAAAAAAAAGGAACCTAAAACTAAGATCTTGTTCTCTGTTAAAGATGTCAGTTAAAATACCTTCTCCCTAAACTTTGCATTTTACAGGAGAATCCTGGGACATTCCCAGCAGTGCCAAGCACTTGTGCTGGTGTGGGGAACATTCCTGCTTCCCTAACAGCTCTCTGTATCCACAGCCACGTCCTCCAGCTTCCAAACTGGGATGCTGTACCCACAGAACCTCTGGAGCTGCCAAAGCCACCAGCAACCATCCAATCTCCTCTGCTGTGTGAACAGAGCAGCCCCAGCCTGGATCCAGCACTGGAATGTCAGATTGGACTCCTGCTGCCAGGGAGAACAAGTGGATGAGCCCTGGGAAGGGAGGAACCCGCTCACCCCCAGGTCATCCTGCAAATGGCACAGCTCCTCACGGAGATTCTTGAAAGTGGAAAGCACAAGTCTCAGGGATTTATCCGACGTCGCTCTCATCTAGGAGGGAAAGAATGAAATGGATAATTGGGATTAATTAGCCCTGTTTACAAAATGAAATGGATAATTGGGATTCATTAGCTCTGTTTACAATATGCTTGACAAGAGGTAGAACAGAAACTGCTGTACAGCTGAAAATAAGTTTTAAACACTGCACATGCTTTGAAGTGCCCACAGTTTCTACAAGAAACACATTTTCATGCACTTTGTTCTGCAAGTGCCACAGTTTTAAATTGCTACCTTGCAACACAGGACAACATTCTAAAATGGAAGGAATAAGAGAGTAAGGAACTGCCTTTGTATACCAATAAAGGGAAAAATGAACGTGCTAATATTGCACAATCATTGAGCATTCAAAGCTTTGTGCTTACACTGATTCAAAAAAAATGACTGCCCTGCCTGAGAAGCCATGGAATGAGTCATGTTTGAGATCTGCAAAGCTTTGGGCTCAAGGGTGAGGGAATTTAATTAACATTTTCAAAAATTTAATTTAAAAAAGTTCATACAACCAACTCCTCCCCTTAGAAGGAGAAAGATCCCAAAGATGAAAGGAGTCACCTGGATGAAAGAGAAAGGCAGAAGTGCATCACAGCCAAGCACTGTTCTCCTTTGGAATGTTAATTTTAATGCCTGTAAGAGCTGTCAATTGATTCAGGTGAAAACACAAGTTGTTGCATTTCATGATACATTTTTGGTATTTGAAAGAAGAAATACAGACTTTGAAAGGACACCCAAGTAAATCCTTAAGTTGTGACTCCCCTGGAAGGGCTGAATATTCTGTGCAAAAGCTGTTCTTTACTGTCTGGACAAAGTGATCCTTCCTGTCTGTTCCCTTGATTTGCTGCTCATCCCAACTGCAGGATGTGCTGCAGTTCCATCCATGTGGGCACTGGCCTTTCTGTGATTTTTTTATCCCCACTGGTGCCACTGTGAGACTGAGGCTTCAAAAAAATCACATTTCTGGTGTCACTCACCTCTTTGTTTTTTAATTAAAGTGGAATTTCAGTTTTGACTCCTGGTTTTGTTGGGTTTACTGTGAAATACACTATAGAGCAGTTTAAAAGAAGGAATTAAGTCAAAAAGGTTGAATTTAGACTATAAAAACTTTAGTAAAACCCCGCTCAGCAATGACTTGGGTGTCAATGTCCATCTCCCTTCTAAGAGAAGCTGGAAGGGAGTTGGGAGCTCATCTTGTGCCAGCCTCCTGCTTAAAGCAGGACAGCTCCGAGCTCAGACCAGGCTGCTGCTTCTCAACTTCATTTCAATGGATATTATTCTAACAGGAAGCAATTCCAAGGTGCAGCTCCAGGTAGGATCACCCTACCCCCACCTCGGGGAGCCTGGCTCAGGACACACCTGCAGAGCAGTGCAGGTTGTTCTGGATCCTGCCCCAACATTCCTGCCTGGCAAATGCAGCACTAAGTGCTGACTGTGCTTGTGGCACTGGGGAACAAACAGCCCCACTCCTGCTGTGGTTCCATTTAGAAAGGTTTTTGTCCTCCTGATCTGGTTCTTTAGGTCCCTCCCCAGCCATGGGGTTGGGCTGTGAGCAGTTGGGATGCAGGCTCTGCTCCTGCCTGGCATTTAGTTGTTTCCCAGCACTGCAATACTTTCTGCCATGTGTTTTGAGCACCTGCTATTTGGTTTTGGCTTTTAAAGCAAAGTACTAATACACAACATTGAAAGATGAAAGGTCTCAGTTCTGCTGTCAGTGATCAAAAGCCAAGACAGTTTCCAGTGAAACTACAGGAAAGCACCAGCAAAAGCTCAGTTTAAAAAATGTGGACTGTGGGTGCAGCTGCCACACTTCCCTTACCTGTACCATCCCATCCCCTGCACACCAGAAAAATGGAATGAGGGGAATACAGAGGGAACTCTCAGGTATCTTTCGTACAAAGGCCCTGCTATGAGTAAGCCAAGTGCTGTCTGAAGTTCCTCTTGGCTTCCACACACTCATACCTGGAGGAGATAACGAATCTGCTGCTTTGTTGCCTCAGACAGTCCTTTGGGAATTAATTCTTCAATATCTTCAGTCTGAGCAAAGAAGGGAGGAAAGGGGAGACATCTTGATTAAGAATTTTGCCTGGTAGATAGTAATGTGGTTTCTTCATTAATTAACAGCTCTATTATGAAAAACATGTTTAGAACAAGGCAAATAAGAATGAAAATAGATTAAAGAATATCCAAAAAATTTCCAGTCTTTTACATGTGGGGCAGATACAAAGTGAGATGAAGTGGTACATGAAGCATATATTCAAATCCTCAAGTTTCTCGTTGATTTTAAAAGCAGTATTCAAACCAATCCTCTCCCAAGGGAAAACAGCTGATGCTACAGCAACTCCCAGCAGTTTATGGTGGGGGCAAATCTCGTGTTTGAGCAGTGAACAGACTGTCACTGACCACGAGGTGACCAGCAGCAGGTTGTGCCAGCTGTTCAGTGGCATTTGCTTCCTGCAGCTGAACCCTGGACAAGTATTTCTGCCACACACACAGTGCCTTTAAAGGTGCAGCTCGTGCTGCTCAGCACAGCTTTACTGGCAAGAGAGTGAAGGATCCTTTTCAAAAGCACACTGTGAAATACAGGAACCTGTGCAAGTTGTTTTCCTCTGAAACCATTACTGACACTGCAGGGAAGACTTCCAAAATTTGTCTCTCATACTGGAATAATGCAAATTACTGAAGTTTTCTTTCGGCATTATCACATTTGCAAATACCTGCCTGGCAGTGTCAGGCTCTGAATGTTAATGCCAAGCAGGAATCATTCACTAACACAGACCAGCCTGCTTTATGAGAAGTGGCTTGAGCTTAACTCCCTTGCAGCCCACCCCCACACTGGTATCAGCACTGACATCAGCCTGTGCTCACCTGAGATGTGAACTCGATGTCGTGGTTCCTGTAAAACACAAAATCCAAAGGATCCATTAACAAGGAGCTGCTTGAGAACCTTAAGAATCCACACCCGCATTCAACACTGAAAGACTGTCAATAAAACACTGAGCAGGGAAGGGTCTTCATCAGCTGAAGAGCCGTTTCCTTCCCTCGGAGGTGCCAGGCAATGTGACCTGTTAAACACCACTCCACGGTGAAATTCCTGAGGAGCCTGGAGTACCAACAGCAGCACAGCTGACACAGGCTGACTATGCCCATTTCTTTGGGCAGTTACCTCAATTATGGGCAGTTAACCCAATTACATTAATTGCCTGGGTAATGGTGTGCCCACAACTCTGCTGCAATCCACTGACATGCCAAAAGTGTTTACTTGGCAGTGTCAGGGTTTCTGTGATGGTTAAGTTCCCCTTTTCCCTGCTATAGGGACCACTTCTCTTATTTCAGTGGCTTTGGGAAGCACGAAGACTGGGAGTGGGGGGGAAGAGTGAAGGGGGTTGGGAGGGAAGGGTGGGAAGGCTGTGCAGCCCCAGAGCACTGGTTGCTGTGACTCTGCATTTCTTCCCACAGACAGTCTGCAGAGCTCTGCAGAAAACATGCTTGGTGTTAATTTGCATGTAGAGACCGAGCTTTATGCCTCATGGTGGCTGTCTTTTAATCCATGACCCAACAGCACAACAGGACAGAGGAAGTTTGGATATTTGGGTCGTTTTCTCAGAACACAGCAGTGGAATCATGTCATTAAATATAAGTCAGAGAGTGCTGTAAGTACTTGTTTGCTCGATGTGCAAACGGGCACAGGATACATATTCCTTAATGAATTTGAAAAAGCATCAAATTCAATAAATTTCCTTGGCTTGCAGCATTTTTATACCCTCAGTTACTCTGCAAATTATGAACATGTGTAAAATATCCAGTCAGTTCCAGTCATCAGGAAAGAAAAAAAAAAAAAAAGTACAACTCTCAACCAACGCTGTCCTCCCAGCTGTGCAGTGCACAGATTAATGGGATATGGGAATGGCAGCACAGATCCAATGGCAGTACCTGCCTCCAATCTTCTCCACGTGCTGCAGCAAGCAGCTGTACAGGTCGTTGCCCTTGCGGTGCAGCTCAGCCAGGAGCTCCCCGAAGTAGCGACAGTCCAGCTGCTCCGGCCTTTCCTGGGAGCAGTTCACCTGGCAGGACACAGGCAGGGCCGTCAGAATGGACCTCCCTCCTTTGGGATGAAAGCTGAACATGAGAATGCTACAGGTGTGATGGATTTGGGCTTCTCTGCTCCGACTGATCTGCAGTTTGTTTACACTGTGCTTTTCCTTGCTAGTGAGTCTTTTGTGTGTCCTGGTTCTCAGTAAACTGTACAAAAATTAATGATTCCCTTTACAGCAACAAGGAGGAGGCAAAGTATTCTCTACCACAGCAACGTAAACGTCAGGATGCTAAAATGGGAAGTGTTGGGAACTAGGAAATCTTGTCAGACACCTGCTGCCACAGCTGAGGTGGATAAAACACCCGTGGGCAGCACCCAGATGGGACCAGGTGGGTGCAGGATCCCCCAGGGCAGCAGTGGGGTTTGCACTGCACAGTCCAAATGTTTTCCTGTGTGAACAATAAAAGAATTCCAGAGGCAGCACAGGCCAAGTGTGCCCGCGCTGGTCTATGGGAGTGCCTGGCAATGAAGGTCCCCAGGATGTTTGTCTCGTCACCCAAACACTGACTGGGTGCTCAGGAGGGACTCATTTAGTGTTTCCAGTGGGTCTGTGTCAAAAACCTCTGCATCGAATTGAAATACATTTTAAAGCCCTTGTAGATCACTGCAGGGGGAAAGAAATCCTGAACTGATGCTTGTCAAGGTTAGAGAACAACATGTCTTTTCTCCAAAACTAGGGGCAGAAGTTGTGCATCCCTCAAGTCTTTGTTACACAGACTGACAGAGGAAACCTGACTCAGGCAATGGTAATGCTCCCAGATAAAGAAAAACAAAACCAAACTAATCAGCAAGACTTCACCCAGTTAAAGGACCTCAGAATGATGCTCAGTACACCTGAGCACAGGTCTGTGCAAACGAGAAATAGGATACAACACCTAAACCAGCCTTTTTCCCCCCACAACAGCACAGGAGAAAGCCTTGGACAGTCCCAGGCCAGTCTGCAATCAGCACACAAAGTTACCTGCAGCACCGCCCGGACGCTGCTGTTTCAGCACCACACACTGAGTTTGAATCAAAACCACAGATCACAGACACACAAACCTGTTCACCCCCCAAGGTGTGTCCTCTGCACACAAACCAACCCAGCAGCAGCACCCCCAGCCCGTGGCCCTCACCTGCTCGCAGGAGTGCAGGGAGACCCTCCTGATGGAATGTCCCCGGCAGTCATCGCCACCCGGCACTGGGAACGCGTCACTGGGGCTGCTGGTCTGTGTGTGCTGGCACTGCTGGGTGACCGGGGCGGGCTCCGGGCAGGGCTGGCACTGCTCTGCCTGCTGGCACAGCTGGGACACCTGGTACTGCTTCTCCTGCTGACAGAGAGGGGTGTTTGCAGCCGCTGGACACGTCTCAGTGTGCTCAGGGAGCTCACACCGAGGGGAATGAAATGGGTTTGGGACCGGCAAGGCTGATGGCAGGTTCAGATATTTTAATAATCCCAATAAAACTGCTTTTTTTTTCCCCTGAGTTTGCCTCACACTTTCACACTTCAGGGTTGGAATTCATCAGCCCCTCATGTTTTAGAGGTTGCAAGTGAGAAGCAGAGAAAAGACACCTTTCCCATGGTGTGTTCCACTACACGTGGAAATTTTCTTCAAAAGTACACTCCTGATTTGACTTAAATCTAGATATACCCCAGGTAAAAAAAAAAAAAAAAAAAAAAAAAAAAAAAAAAAAAAAAAAAAACAAAAAAAAAAAAAAAAAAAAAAAAAAAAAAAAAAAAAAACAAAACAACAACCCAGAAGTAAAAAATATGACTACAATTTTTTATGATTTTTTTACACACCAGCTGTGGAAAGAAAAAACTATAATTTATAATTACCTCCCCCCAACACCTTTTCCACTTCAGAGAATGGGTATTACACCTCATTCACCTATTAAAATCCAGAGTGGCATGAAAACTTCAGTTTTAAATATCAAAGTGGAAAAAAAAAATCTAAACCATTCTGAAATACCCTTCATTTCAATTATTTTCCTTGGGAAATGTTTCAGAGCAATAAAAAAAAAAAAAAAAGAGTACTATTTTGCTATTGACAAAACAACAGTTCTAAGAGGAAATTTCATACAGTTTTGCCAAATACATTTTTTTAAGACTGAGAAAAAAATTTGTCTTATTAATGTCTTTTTAGTAAACAATTATCCTTGTTGTTCTGTTGTGGAGCTACTGCAAGAAAACAATTCTCAGTCAATATTCAGAGGTTTACTGATAGTATTAGAGATACAACAGCAGTTTGTTACTCTGAAAGAATAAATTGTCAGGAAATATAAAGCAAACATTCCAGTTTCTGCTCTCCTTAAATATTGGTTCATTTACTTTGAGACTGTGGCCTGTACCACAGCAAGGTAATTCTCAGACTGGCAGCTATTCCCACAAAACCAAACAAAAAACCAGAACCCAATCAGTCCAGAAATATCAATAATCGATAATATAAACACCCAACTTACTTGGAGGGGATTTAATAGCTCATATTTCCTTATTGTCTTTTCATAGATGACATTATTTCCAGGACCAAAACTCCCCGTTCTGAGAAACGGGGATAATGACTCCTGCAAAACATGGAAATCAACACATCCATCAGTGTTGTCAAACAGCAAATTCGGGATTAGTGTAATTCTGACTAAAAAACGACGAGGGGTTTTTGTGATTTGAAGACACATGCACTGTGAGACATTCCTTTAGGATGTGTCCATTTGAGTGCATGGCCATTTCCATGGAGACTATGTGAAATAAATGCAGTGGAACAGTTAGTAATTAATCTTAATAAAACTTCACTGCTGAGGGGTGGCAGCCTGACTGGCCATTCTCCAGCACTTTCAACCTCTAGTAATGCCATCTCTCACCATCAGAGGTGTGAGCTGTGTGATCCCAAAGTATTTCTCATCCCTAGAGGACTTTCTGGAATGAGGGTAACTGAGGGAACTCCAGCACTGAACACTTCCTTACCTGATCAGGATTCTCGATGATGATCCTTCGAATAGTGCCCTGCAAGGAGGAAAATAAGCAAAGGTTCAGTATTCCTGCACTTCCACCTCTGAAACATTTCTGGCAGATCTCAGGATCACATGGATTCCCAAAGTATCTGGATGGAGTCACTGGCTGTAAATATATTGGGATCCACAGGCCACAGTCAACCTGGAGATGTTTTAAATCCAGAGCCTTCCCCCCCCAAAGGAATTAGCCCATACACAGCACAGCAACACACGTTCCATCAGTCTCCTTTTTGTTAGTTTGGATTTTCTCAATCACTTCCCTGCAGGTATGATGGAATTAGTCCTTATTTTCTCTAAGTGCAGCAGAACAGGCCACAGATCAAAACTGGATGAGGTCTCCATGGGTTCCATCTCCCTGTTCCACAGACACCCTCCTTCACTTGTCATTTTTCATTTTACATACCAAGGTCAGGTGGTGTAAATGGAGGTGCATCTTCAACACTTTTTGTTGAAAACGTTTCACAAAGAAAATTTGTAATTTGCCTAAATTCAGAACTGGAGGGGCAGAGGAGCTGCCCACCAACCCCACTGGCTCACATCCAGAGGGCACAACTTCACAAATGCCAGCTATGGAAATGGTGCCCACATGGAACATCTGCACAGTCCTGAGGGGAAAAAATGAGAAGTGCCTTTTTAAATTGCAGAAATCCATAGGTGGCAGCAGCTTTGTGCATTTTTCCAAGCATATTTTTTCCCCTTTTCCCCAGCACTGTCCAGAAGCAATTTTAGGCATCATCTCCCATGCTGAGGGCCACCACCAGTTCTAAGAAATTGCACATATTGCTTCAAGTCTCCACAACCAATACTTTATCCAAGCAAGCAAAATTCCCACTTAATCCAATCTAAGGATTTGGCAACTTGTTAGTTTAGAGCATCCTGGTTATTCTTCCTCACAGCAAAACCCTCCAATTTTCATAATAAATCACTTCTTCCCAAAGCCATGGGGAAGTTTATGTGGCTGCAGTTGTCTTGGAGACATTGTCAACTAGGTGAGAGCAGCTCTGAAGTAGGTCAGCTTTCCTGAACTGTTGCATAAGTTTAGGAAGCCTGGAGCAGTTTTCCAAACCTCCCAAAAGTGAATCATAACAGCGCCAGGAAAGAGAAGCCCAAGTAGAAAAGAAACTGTTTTAGCAGCAGTCATAGTGATTAAGACATTTCAAAATTAAAATGCTAGAACAACATTAAAAATAGTAACTGCTGCAGAAACTTAGAAAGCTGCTCAGTGCTCCTCTCACACCATCCAGAGGGAGGTCTGGCATGGAAGGGAACCCTCAGACTGTACCAGGACACAACACAGAGCTCTAGAATTTACAGCCCAGTCCTGCACCCACTGACACCTGCAGGACTTGAACTGAAAAGCGAAATACCCAACAAATGAACGCCCACTGGTCCTTCCTCCAGCCCAGCTTAGAGCAGGCACAGCCCAGATCCCAGAGCCTGTCACTGGCTCCGTCCATCCCGGAGCACTCGGAGCCGCGACACTCGAGAGCCGTGGGAGAGCAGGGACTGGTTCCACTCAGCGCTGACAGAACGGCACATGGGAACCAGGTAACCACTGTGTGTCACACAAAAAACACTTTCTGAATTCACTGAGAAGTTGGACAAACCTGTCTGGAGTAAACCACGCTGCCACAGGGCCCTGGGATACGTAACTCTCACTGGTTTAGAGAGGACACCAAGGGAAGTTATTTTACCTCGTTACCTGTGTGCTCCCAGAGGAACACATCCAGAGCAGAGAAGACTGGAGCATTTTAAGTTTAAATAAGCCTTCATAATATTCACAAGGACACCCTAATCCTATGTGCAATAATATACAGAACCTAAGAATGTTTTGCTTGGATAAAATTATGCTTATTTTTGAGATACCCAAACCCTTTCATTTCCAGAGAACTTTGATGCAGATACACTTCCCTCGCCGCTTTACAAACACAGATTTGCCTGCCCTTCCTCCCATTCCAGCCGAGCAGGCTGGGCTGGCGCAGGCTGGGAGGGGACCCTGTGTCTGTGCCAGCCTGGACTGCCCCACACGTGGCTCCTCACTCTGCACAACCAGCTCCAAGGCCTCTGGAGCTGCTCCCTCGGCAGGACCATGGGAGGGGACCTCAGACCACTTCCTTTTCCATCATTCCCAAGGGCCACAGCTCTGGCTACTCTCCCATTTCCAGCAATGCTTTGGGGGTGCAGTATTTTCTACATGGGAGAAGGAAGGGGAAGGTGGCATTCCAAAGGGCAGAGCTCAGTGCTGCTGGGTGTTTCAGTGGCATAACTGGGTTTGGAATTTTTAACAAGCCTGACCAATCAATCTGGGTCTATTTTATGGAATCACAGAATGGTTTCGGTTGGAAAGGACCTTAAAGATCATCCATTTCCAACCCCCTGCCATCGGGTTTATAAGGATAATTTCAAAAGGTAACATTAACACTTTCATAAATATTTTTGCTGGTCTTTAAGATTTTTAAATTTTAAAAGAAGCATTTGATAGATTCATCCACTTAGCGTGTGCAATGTTCTGCAGAAGCAATCAGTAAATTCACTTTTATTTCAACAGCTCTACCTTCACTCCAGCCAACCCAGCGATGAAGGTCAGAATTCCACCTCTGTCAAAACCCTTTATCCATAACACATTGTCTCGCTAATTACAAGCAATCCAGTCATCTCATCAGGATTTATGAGTTCCATTTGGCAGGTGAAATGGGGAAATGGCAGGCTGTGTTTGAGGGCTGTTACAACACAGACCAACCCTTAAAGCTGGTTAATGTTACACCACTCTCACGAGAGTGCTTTGCACGTCACAGAGCTGAGCCCTGATGGGGAAAGACAACATTTCTCACACAACCAGACAACCCCTACAAAGCCTGTCAGGGTTTTGCCCTCTGCACTGACAGCAAACAACTGGCATGTGCCTTTTCATATATTGTCTTTTCATGACCATGGTGAAGGGGTTCATACATATAAGCCATACTGGAAGAGAAATCATTCTGAACAACATTCTGCAGTTAGATCAAGCAGAGCAAAATTAGCTGTGAATCAGACCAGATGAAGCCTGCCGTGGCTGGGAGCAGGATTTGGCCTCTACAAAGTTACACCAAAAAAGCAAAAAAAAAAAAAAAAAAAAATAACCCTGAACCCCAAAAAATGCCCACACTCGTACTCTGTGCACACAACAATTTTCAAATTCAAATTCTCCCTCCCTCTCATTCTCCCTAAAAACATACATGAACCCAGGAGCACACACCAACCACGCGACTAAACAGCAGGGCCATATCAGCAAGGATGTAGATATTTACCATTAATCCCCTACAAGGTCTGCAGGAGAAAATAAAATACTGCTCCAAGAGCCCTTTGGTTTTCCAGCAGTACAAAGCTTCAAGTACAGCTCTGGGCTGTCACTGCCCAAAAACACTCGTGTTCCATTAAAACACGGATGTGAGTTTGGTGTTGTTCCATTATTCACTTCTCAATCAGCTCAAAGGGCAACTGAACCAGCTCTTGGGAATGTCCTACACCCCTCCCAGGGCTTCTCCCTGCCAACTCCCATTCAGCACCAAGTGTGTGACTTCCCTGTTACTGTTTTCTTCTTTATTAACTTCCTAATAATCTGTATTTAGGCACCTTCCCTCTCCACCACTGAAACTGCAACCCACACAGAGCCTGAACTACACCCTCTTGTCTTTAAAGTCTCGTCCAGCAAAACACTTCAGCAAGAAATTAGTTTTCATCAGCAGGACTTAATGGATTCAGTGACTAAAAGGTGTTGAAAATTAAACATCCTTCATAAGGCAGCGACAGCATTGGAGTCTGTAATCACTGCTCGACTTATCTAGGCAGAGGAAGCCTGGGACTGCTGTGTTTACTCCAATGAATATTTAATTAATTGATTGCAATTCAGACTTTCATCCAGCCTAGGTGAGCAGATCACTTATCTGGGAGGTGAGACGCCAGTGTTTACACTCCTGCCCTACATCTTGCAAAAGAGGGATTAACAGCTTGGAAACAGCGGGGATGGCTCTGCCATAACCAAGTCAGATAAAAATATTACAAACTCATTCAGGTTGGAAAACCCACTAAGATCATCGAGTCCAGCCGTTCCCACAGCACTGCCAAGGCCACCACTAACCACATCCTCAACATGGTTTTTAAAACATTTCCAGGGATGGTGACTCCACCACTTCACTGGGCAGCCTGTTCCGATGTTTGACCATCCTTTCCATGAAGGAAGTTTTCCTAATATCCAACCTAAACCTCCCCTGACACAACCTGAGGCTGTTTCCTCTTGTCCTTGAGCCATCCTAGAGAGGAAGGCAAACACTGCTTTGAAAGGAAATCAGACCTTGTATCGGTCTTAATCCCTATTCTTTTTGACAGTTACCACACAAAAGAAAATTCAGTAGAAGTTCATCTTGAAGCAACTGTACATTGCCATATGAGTATAGCAGAGCAATCCTACTGATGTTAATGACAGACTGAGGTACGAGGAAAAAGTGGTTTGAGAATAAAGTCTGCTCTCTTTTTCTGTTTTCATAGTCAAATTTGTTCTTAAACTATTGGCTTCTAGTTTTCAGACACCAACTGTATGTGTTAAAATTACATTAAATTCCATCGATACCTTCAAGCCACGTCCTGAAACGCGCACACAGAGCAAACCTGCTGAACTGCATGGTGAGGGCTTTCCAACCTGAACTCCAACACCTCGGTGCGGACCTCATGAGCATCACCGATTCAGAGAGCACTACCGAGCACTCAGGTTTACGCTGTATTTACATGGGCAGCACCGAGTCAGGAGAGCAGCGCTGGGGACAACCCGGCGTGGGAAGGGAGCAGTGCCCGCGGCGGCTCCGCCGGGATTGCTGCTGTTCCACGGGGAAAACGGGCAAAAACGGCGTCCTGGGGCAAAAGGGGCCACGGAGCTGCGGAGCGGGGCGGGCACGGGGGCGAGAGGGGCTCTGCACGGGGACAGCCCGGCGGGTCTGGGGACGGCGAGGAGCCGCTCAAGCGGATTTTCCACAAGGAAACCCGCGAGGCTGTGAGGGGCTGGAACCAAACCACCCCCGCGGGGAGCCCGGCCCGGCCCGGCCCGCAGCCCCGGCCCGCAGCCCGGGAACGGCTCATCCCGGGCTTGTCCGGGAGCAGCGCCCGAGGCCGGGCAGGGAGCAGGTCCGGCTGCGGGAGCGGTGCCGGGGTGTGGGAGCGGAGCCCAGGGTTGCGGGAGCAGAGTGGTGGCCGTACCTGCGGCGGGTCGCAGCCGTAGCCGCAGTCCAGCGGCGAAGTGGCCCGGGAGGAGCAGGAGGTGCTGAGCCGGCGGCATCCCGGGCCGTAGGTGAGCACCCGGTCGTACAGGACGGCGCCGTCCGGGGGCTGGTCCAGGCAGGGCAGCGGCCGCGGCGGCTCCGGGCACGGCGGGGGCTCGGGGCAGGGCGGCGGCTCCGGGCAGGCCCGGCGGGCGGGCAGGGTGCTGTAGTGCTGCTGCCGCCGGTAGTAGTGGTGCTGCTGCTGATGCGGCTGCGGGAGGTGCGGGGGCAGCGCGGGCGGCTGCGGCTGCTGCTGCCCCGCGAACATCCCGGCGGCGGCGGCGGCGGCGACTGCGGCGGGGCGGCAGGACGCGATTAGTACCTGCAGAGCCGCGCCTTGGGCGGGACGCACCTGGGGCGGGGAGCGCCGGCCGCTCCCCCTCCGCGGGCGGGACACGGGACACGGCACAGGGATGTGGGACACGGCACAGGGATATGGGGCATGGCACAGGGATATGGGACACGGCACAGGGATGTGGGACACGGCACAGGGATATGGGACACGGCACAGGGATATGGGACACGGCACACGGCGCCGGAGCGGGGCCGCTGTGGGTCCCGGGCTGGGGCTGCAGCACAGTTACCTGCCACCCTCCCCCGGGACTGGCCACGGTCCCGAGCTTCTGGTAGAGCACCTCTAATGCAAAAAAATTAATAAAATAAAGCGCCGCTGTATTCAGTGAAGCCCTTTGTTATTGTCTGTTTACAGCGTGTGTGGGGGGAGTGTAAATTCTTAGTTGTCTGCTGCTCAGTTAAATGACTTAAATACTTTTCACAGGAGGTGATGAACTTCCCCACAGAGCCCTTCACCTTGGCCTCCATGCAGCAAACTCTGCCTGGGAAAGGAGAATGTTCTCTAAATGAAACCCTGCACCTGCATGGAGAGCACAGGCCACCTTCGGGAACGGTGCTGCTCACAGAATCACAGAATGGGCTGAGTTGGGAGGCACCTTACAGCCCATCCTGTTCCACCTGCCACTATCCCAAGTTTCTACAAGCCCCGTCCAACCTGGCCTTGGACACTTCCAGACCCCTGGAAGCCAGAGCCACAGCTCCCCTGGGCAACCTGTGCCCAGGCCTCAGCACCCTCACAGAGAGGAATTTCTTCCCAATATCCATCTAACCCTGCCCTCTGGCATTGGGAAGCCGTTCCCCCTGTCCTGTCACTCCAGGCCCTTGTCAGAAGTCCCTCATCATCACAGATGGAATACAACTCGGCACTTATCTAGAAAGGATGGCTTTGGTTACTAATTCAAAATCTCACTGTGCAGACAAGATTGTGAGCTCAGTTTCTCAATCCAGCATATTTTGGTTTGGGTTCCTTTGGCAGCGTCAGGCAAGCCCTAACTGAGAACATAACTTTGTTCTGCAAGGTAATGTAGCAATAACATACAAGTACAATCTTGTGTAATAAATATTATCCTTAATAATAAACCTTAAGATTCTTAATTTTGTCAGTTTGTTTCCCCTGCATGCTTAGTGTGCTGTAAGGTCACACAGTACAGTCACACAGAACAAAAAGTAGTTTCTATAGGACCATGTTAGGGCAAAACTCCTTTGAGGTGATAGAGCAACACTGGCCACTCACTGAAGCTCTGCCTCTGAAATTAAGAAGTGCTCACCAGATCTGTTCAATGGGCTGTGGGAAGCATGTATTTTAGGGTGAGGGCCTACAACAATTCAATATTTTAAGGCAGTGTGAAATCTGGAGACATGCTCATCACATATATACAAAGTTCTCCTCTTCCTTCAGGCATTAAACCCAAACAGACATCCTACTTTACATAGGAGTGTGTATAAAAAGCATTTGAGGTAAATTCTATCCTACTGATTTCAAAGGAACTACATGCAAAGAAAACCTTCTCTTAAACCCCTATTTTTGGTTCACCAGCTTGGAAAAGCTGTTGACGTTTTTTCACAAAACAATTTTTAAAAAAGGCCATTTCTTTGAAGGAGTAAAATATGGTTACAACAGCCCAGTCTCTTATTTACACAGACCATAAGAAACTATTCTATCCTTCAGTAGGAAACTACAGAAACTGCAGGAATGCTCCTCAGGGGAAAGAAAGGCGCTGTAATATAAAATGTGGGAACACTGTGGGTTTGCCAGCTCAGGAATGTTCCCCGTGTGCAGCATATTGCCCTGCTTAATAAAGACATTTCTACAAGGGTCAGCACAAAGCAAGCCCCAAGTCATCCCATTGTAATGGAAATACGGAACAACTTCCGGAAGGCTTTGTAGATGTGGAGGATTACTGGAGTGGTAAATCACAAAAGTAACGAACGTCCCTACCAGGTAATGAAAAGAACCTCAAAGCAAGCTTTTGAATTTTAATGTGACCAAAGTGACATCCAAACCTGGGGTGGTACTGCACTGTGTCCTGCGGGGTGTTGCCTGTTCTGGAGGAGTTCTGGCTGGGACAGCTGGGGCTGGGAGGAATAAAACTGTGTTTGGGTATAAAATAGGAGGGGGAAGTACTCACCTGGGAAGACCACTACAAGAAACAATATTCAGACCACTTACACTTCCATTATTTAAGTTATTTGTCACGTGGGGGTGAGAAGCTGCCTGAAGGACTGAGGCAGGGAGGGTTAAGAAGCCTGGCAGGCAGCTGCACCCCTTAAGCAGCTTGATGAGGCAGAGATATAAATCTGCTTTCAGCTGAAAGGAAGGCTTGAGAGATGGAAGTGCAGTCAGAACCAGCTGGTGAGCAGAGGCTTTGTTGTGATCCTCCCCTCGAAGGCAGAGCCATCAGTGCACCTGAGGTTTGGTGGAAGGTGCCTGTCACTGATCCAGATAGCCCAGTGCAGCCACTGTGTCCCTGTTAACCTCTTAACCCTGGATTACCTGGATCGGGCTGTGCTGATAGTGGGACAACACCTGGCAGAGGGGGAATCAAAGCAGGAGAATTCCTCTCTCCTCCTTCCAGGTGGCTGGGACAGCCTGGCTCCAGGGATCTGCTCTGGGACCAGCTAAAGCTGAACAACATCAAATGCCTGTAGGGACGATGCAAGGCATTTCCAGACATGAGAGCAGGTGTCAAGAACTCGCTGTTCTAATCACAAGCACATCACTGGCTTTTAAAAAGCCGAGCTCTGTTCAGTCAGAAGTTGTGTGACTTGGTGATGGCCACGTCCCCCCTTCTGCAGCTCAGGCTTCCTGACCTTGCCTTCTCTGGAGCTGCCTCGATAAGCAGATTGTGCTTTCTGGGGTCCATCCCAGGGCAGAGGGGATTTAGAGGAGCCAGCAGGAGGTGAGTGGGGAAGGGGAAACACCAGATGAGTACAGAGCAAAGGTCTGGCTGGGGAAAACCCGGCTAGTGTTGGAGTGTTGGCTCTGTGGCACCTGGAGCCCCATCTGCCGCATTTCCACGGCAATTTCAGGGTAGGGAATGCTGAGAGAAAGGATCACAAGTTGTTTTTCATACTGCCTCATCCTTTGCCCTTCTGGTTCGTGCCTCTGCAGTGACAGCATACTGTATTTCCCACAAGAAAAAAATTTAAAAGCGCATAATGGGAATACCTCGAATTGTTTTAGGACAGCAGGAGTTGGCTATTTATATTTTAATTAAAAACAAAGGAACAACTCTACCAGTTCAGATCAAGATACCACCTAGACCTCAAGCTAAAGAACCACCAGTATATTCCAAAAAGTGTCCAAAGAGGAAGAGCCACTGTAACACTTCTCTCTCAGTACTTTCCCATTCATTAATTATTTTCAGCTCTGGGTATTCCACAAGGACAATATGTTCTTTTTCTCACCAATAACCTCTGGTCTCACATGTATGGCCTTGCTCAGTACACTCCTTGTATTCATGTAAACCCCTGGCACCCACACAGTCCTCTGGAATTCCAGCAGATCTGCCACTAAGAACCTCCTTTTGATCCTGACTCCCAGTTCAGTTCTTCCACACAACTTCATAATTTCTCCACTAAGTCCTCTCTTTTCCAGTCTAGAAAAGAACAGCCCTAATCAATCTTCTACACAGATATGTTATTCCATATAATGGATGATTAATGTCTTTATCATGACCCTTTTCCTGTTCTAATATTGTTCCTTGAACAGTATTCCAGGTGCTGAAAAATCATGGATTTACACAATGGTTCAATTATGTTTACTTTTTTTGTTCTCTATTATTTTCTTGATTTTTCGATTTTTCCCTGGAATTATCTGTCCTGACCACAGAGTCCTGCACTGGAGCAGCAAGAGGCTGCTCAGAGCTCATCATTTCCCATGTTCCACACGAGCATCACTGTGCACTCCCCCACAACGACTTTTTATCTGCTGTATCATTTTAGATTTTCTTTAGTAATGTATTTTAACAAGATATCTCACAGTACAGCTAGCAGGATTGGATCTGAAATGTTTCTTATGTGATTTCAGAATTTTAATTCTCTTTATACATTCAGTAGTAAGAAAATAAGGGTTGAGCAGAGTTTAGGGTATGGCTTAAAGACTATTATTTACCTTGATGGCATCAACTCATTATCAGACCACGAAGTTTGAAGGAAAACTCTCTTATCCCATTAATATATTCCTTGTAATAAATTGTGATATCAGTTGAAGTTTATACACTTCAAAAAGAAAGAGAAATCACTGGAAAATACAAAAAAAAAAATCTAGACTTAAAAATTGCATCTATTGATTAATAGCTAGGATGATTATAATCTAAAATTGTCAAGGAACATGCACATACACCCTTTCTACTTTTTCTGTACCAGCAGAGAGGAAAAATAATCTTTGTATTATATTATAACAACAGTACTTGGAGTGCCAAGATGGAATAAAATGACTTTGTTTCATGAGGACACTGTGTGAGGGCTGTCAGGATCTTCAGCTGCTCAGAAGATGGAACATCATTCTGGGAAGTGAAACAATACCCTGCTGTCCTTACCCTGAAGCAGAAGTCACTCCTTTTTCCTAACCATTTACCTGTTTGAATTATTGAGGTTATTTAACCAGTCAGTTTACTTGGTTTCAAATAATTGATCCTACACAGGACATTGGTGATCAAACAGAAAAAAACCCTCACTGAGCAACTTTTCTCCCACCCATTAAAGACCTTATTCAGCATCCTCAGGAGTGAAAGCCTCAGTTTAATAAAACACTGCCAGTTATCATTTACCAAATATTGACCGAGGAAAAACCCCAAACCTCAGGGAGATAACACTGTGTGATAAACACAAGATTTTACCCCTCGATAAGGCTTAGTACAGAATAAAAAGATGATGCTACACTTTCCTCATGGCACTGCAGAAGCCCTCTGA